TCTTTCTTCCGATGTGGGAAGAATCCCACTTCCAACTTGCCAATAACAAACTATCTTACATAACCATTAATGTTGCGTTAACTAAAACATCTAAACCATTTACAAGGTTATGACCATAGTACAAATGATTATTGAACCCCATATTTCTATGTTGTTTTCATATTTGCAAAGAAAAGTTAATCTAAATCAAGGGAGAAAAATCATAAACTTTCAAATTATTTTAGATAATCAGAAAATTATAGTAACATGAAATTAAATAACCTACAATATCTTATTATATCTTATGTATAACATACATTTTTAAAATTTATCTCTACTAATTAATATTGTGAAAGGTTTTTACTAAAAAAAATATATTTTATTAGGTAGTAAAATATTATTCTGATATACGTAGAATGTCCTCTAAAAGGTGGGATAAAGTCTTATGAATATGAAAAATAATAAAATTATCAATGGATTATCATAGTCTAACAAGTCCAAACATGCATATAAATATTTTTTGAAAATTTTACCAGCCATAGCTAAATCTAAGATCTATTTATGGATGATAACTACTTTTTAATTTAGTTACTTTTCATAGCTACCAAGAATTTTCAATTTACCCATCATAGTTATACTAAATACATAGAGTTATTTCACTATATCAATATTTTTCCTCAACCCTCTCTCTTCTCCCTCAACTCTCTCTGTCCTTTTTTCCTCTCTCTTCGTCCTTGGCAAGACCGCCGTCCAACTCCGTCGTCACCGGTCACCTTCTCCGATGGAGCTCTGTCGGAGCCCAACCAAACATCCACCTCTCTCTCTCTCCTCTCATCTCCACCGTCAGATCCGGATATGAAAATCACGAAATCGCATGTCGGAGCCCAACCAAACATCCGCCTCTCTCTTTCTTTCTCTCTCTCTCTCCTCTCATCTCCACCGTCAGATCCGGATATGAAAATCACGAAGTCGCAATGGGTTCATTATCGGTGGCGAAAACAATGAAGGGGAAGATCGGAGGCATCACCAGATATGGATCTAACGGAGATGCCGAGATTCATGGGTTCTTCTTCTTTCTTTGTATCTCACATTTGAGTGTATTCGTCTGACCAGATTTTGGTAGATACAATGTGATAGTGTATTCTCAATTTGGCTGAATTTTTGTTCTGTCTCCATTTTTAGTTTTAATACAATATAATGTATATAATATTTGGCTTGGCCAGAAGACTCCATCTACGACGAACTTTCTTCTCTTCTTTGCTATTGAGTCACATACAATAATACAAATACATTGTATTTTATATAAATAAACTCAAATTTGAGAAATGTAAAAGTAGCTACGAATGAATACAGTGAATAGAATATAGCCGAATATCACTGTATTTTTTATTTTTTGTTGTTTGAATACAGTCAAATTGAATAGAGTAAAATTGAATAAAATGTAAAATAATTAAGAATGAATATAATCGAATTGAATACAGTGTATACAACCGAATTGAATACAGCGGCATACACCCTATTTTTTTGATTTTTGTTGTTTGAATACAACTGAATTCAATATAATGAAATTGAATACGATGTAAAATATAACGACATACATCACATGACAAACAATTAGTAGCTACGAAATGTAGTTAGCTAAATTATAGCTATGCCCGGCAATAAGCCTTCAAACAATAGTCATTTCTGTAAAACGACATCTTATTCGTTTCCTTCTACTATTTTGATTGAACCAAAAATAGGTAAATGATATTCCTTTTCCCTTTCTCTCCTTATTTTACTAGATGTTATTCCTTTCCTTGCTCTTATTCTTCTGAAACAAAGTGCAACTTCCTCATCAAGAAATTACGTTCACGATGCAGTTTCAATCACCAAAAGCACTTTGCAATCATGTTAACTAATACACTCAAACTATAATTCCTCATCCCTGCAGAAAATTAGAAAAAGCAACCTTGGTTGTATTCTTTTCTACATATATATGTACAAATACTATTGACAACACACAGAAGATAAAAAGAATCAGGATCAACCATATTCAATGATTTAGCTTCCCGTGGAGGCGTACAGCACCCTACTTTGAAGGTGAATCACTCTGCAGAGGAGAAGGGAAACCATCTGTTATGGTATCCCAAGAAAGCTTCTTGTCGTTCCTTCTCTTTCGATTTAAGAAAGCTGGTCTAGTTGGTGTTTCAACTATTGCAACATTGCGTATCAACATTGCAACAATCTCAGACATCGGTGGTCTTGAATTTGCATGCGGCTGAAGACATAAGAAAGCCACATATATTGTTTGCATGACATCCTTTTCCACAATGCCATCTTCCCGCATCTTGGGATCAACTAGATCAATTAATCTTGACCTTTCGTATAGCTTCCATGCCTGCACTTGAACAATCAATGTCAAACACACAACCTTTTCTGTTTCATCAAAAGATAACGAAACATAAGTTAAATTTTGACAGCCTACATATTCGGGGAGATATTGCATTTCTGAAGGCAAAGAAAGATCTGTATTCTTCCGGCAACTGATAATTTCTAGGACAAGAACACCAAAACTGTATATATCAGCCTTTTCAGTCAGTTCTCCTCTAATGGCATATTCAGGAGCTGTATAGCCTCTGCACAGGCAAAAATATACCAAGATGACATAAAATCTCCCAATCCTTAAACGAAATTTGTTGATGCATGTCTATAAATTTATGCTTAAAGAGTTCATGAAATGAAAAGTACCATTCTCTGGACAATATAGTAATATAGCAACATTCATAACCTTATCAGAAGATTTCTCAAAATAAATTCTCCATTCTTCATGTATAATAGTATCATACTTATAGCTGGAACTGCTAAATTCAATTCTCCGAAGACGTGAAAGAAAACATATCGAAGAGGATCAAAATGTAAAAGCGACGCTTGATTAACAGCACAGTATAATCATTTGTGATATGGAGCAACTAGGAGTTGAATTTAGAGGAGTAATCTACGAGATTTATATCTGGCCACTAGACCACACCCTTGAGTGCAAAACACTTAGTAAGTTTTCAGATTTCTTTATTTTGTGGAAGAAAGCATGATAATAGCCCATGAACCTACTTTGATAAGATGAAGTTGGTTCATTAGAGTACTTCGTCATAGGGATACAGCTTTCTGTAAATAAAATCCGTAAGTCATCAAGCTATCTCCTTTTGTTGCACCCTCCTCCCTGTATTTGCTCACTATCTTAATATGCTACAGTTGCATTAGTCTCTGTCCCTGTTCTAAGTAGTCTAGTAGTTTTTATGGAAGGTGTGTTATAAAAATGTCTTGTTGATTCCATATATATCATTTCACTTCAAGCAGCCTTCAATTCTAAACGATTCCAGCAACTATTAACATATATCATTATTGCATTCCAAGTGTAAATATGACAATGCAATTACTTCTCATAGCAGATACGGTATATTAAGCCTTCTCCTCCTATTTTGGGGGGGAGAGAGAGAGAGAGAGAGAGAGAGAGAGAGAGAGAGAGAGAGAGAGAGGGAGAGAAAATGCCTATGTAACTTGCAATTGTAAATCTGTCAACCCGTGACCTGTGACTTAAACACCTGACCGATACTATTGCAAAGAACAACCTCATTTCCATCTTACAAAAATTGTCGTTGATAAATTCACACGAAAGAATATGTTTTTCTTGGGAAAACTATTCTTTAATTCATTTTCACAGTATTCAGATGGGCATTGTAGGCAGCATATGGTAGCAGAGAAGACAAGAAGGTGGTGATGGGGAACTGATAATATTGCTTACATATTGGTAGGAAAAAAGTGGTATACAGTAAGAATTGAGATCCTGGTAAAAGACAATCACTTCCAGGCCTATAATTATAAGCGATAATTCTTTTTCCCTATGCAATATTTTCCTAGGAGAACAATATCTAACCATCTAAGACCACGCAGTAGGAAATGATATATTAGGAAAGTTCCTTAGTCATACCAAACACACCCTTTCCAAACAGCTTCTATGTTAAAGGTGTTATTTTGAGATAGCATAATAGACTATTGAAGTGAGAAACACGTACAAGGTTCCAGCAAATGCAGTGCTGAGATATGCTTGATCTTCAGGGAAAAACCTTGCTAGGCCAAAATCTCCAATTCTTGGTTGGAATTTGTCATCCAACAGAATATTGCTGGCTTTGATGTCCCTGTGGACAATTCTAATGTGTGAATCCTCATGAAGATACTGTAATCCTCGTGCGATCCCTAAAATTATCTGGTGCCGAGCTTTCCAGTTAAGGAATATATTACTCTTTCCTGTGAAAAGCAAGAACTAGTACAGTTATGGTACCCAATATCGAGAGATGTACAATCTGTATCTCAAAGTTGAAGTATTAATCCTCAAAAGTGTAGGAGACAACTAGCAAAAAAGATTCGGCTCTAGAAACAAAAGTAGTGAAAACTTTTCAGGTCAAAGCACACAGAACTCACTTTTTTCATAAATGAAAGCAAGGGTCTACAATCTATCATTCAATCTTGAACCCAAATAAGATGTAATAATACTCCATGAGAAGCAGCACAACAATGAATATAATATGACGATATCATTCAAGGGTACAAACATATGGTTTTCAAGAGTGATACAGATGCATAAAGGTGAAAAAACAATGACATTCTGATTTCTTATATTCACTACTTCTCAATCCGTTTGGCTCCTTTGTTTCTGAAAGCTATCTGAGTTCACAACTCAAAAAGTAATAACTTATAACAAGCTCAATAGGAAAGAGAAACACAATGGAGTACCATATAATATTTGGTCCAAGCTCCTATTCTTCATGTATTCATAGACGAGCAGCCTCTGAGCCCCATCTGAGCAACAGCCGAGAAGGCGGACCAGATTCTTGTGCTGTATGCTTGTTATTAGCCGCACCTCTGCAAGGAACTCCCGTTCCCCTTGCTGTGATTTGTCAACAGACAGCTTCTTGACAGCAATCAACTGCCCATCTCCTAGCTTCCCCTACGCAAAACAGTACCTTATTTAGATTATCATGTATATAGGTATAGTATTGAACACCCAGTAAGCTTATCATTTTAGGATTTTAGACTCATTTTTTAAAGTGTTTAGACACATTAACCTTAGATGCTGTCTCATATCTCAAGATCTCATAACAGAGCCAAGGCCCTAAAGGGTCTTTCATGCATAATTATAACTTTATCCATGTAAGAAACAGTGTAATCAGCTTTAACACAAAAAAAGGCTGCAGAAAACTAATACCAAGAAAACCGGACCAAATCCACCACTTCCAAGTAGGTTATTTGAATGAAAATTCTTCGTGGCCTTCTTCAATGTATGGAAGTTAAAGTAGCTTATTGTACGAAGATGTACACTAAGGGCATCACTCGTCCCTGTAACATTTGAAGAAAAGGATTTAGTACTATTTCATTCCGAACAACTATAATAAAATTAAAGGAGCATCAGTGAAACCTTGAGGCTTAGCTGTGCGACCAATCAAAGCTCGCAGTTTTCCTGGTTTGAAAAACTTGCATAGGATGAGAATGAGAACAACCAGGATTATAAGAATAACGAGGCTTCCAAGAAAAAAGAACAAGCCCGAGTAAGGCTGCTTCGATGCAGAGTTCTGCAACAGACGTCTTGATGGTAATGGAGATATCACTGTATCCGCAAAGGACAATTCAATCTTAAGCGGCATAGAATTATATGTCAAAGCTTAAGAAAGCTAGACAATGCAATTGCATATATTATGCCAAGCTAAACATAAGGATTCAAACACCTGACACTTGTAAGAATGCTGTCTATTAAATTGAACTGCACTCCTAAAATCCTTTTAAGTAGAAAGCAATATATAAATTTGGAAAACACAAATATTCGTTATATAACACCTGACACTGTAATTCTTAGGTTCTTAGTTAAAAATATGTGCATTCTATTTTTATGATGTGCTTCTTATTAATAAACATTAGTATAACATTGATTTTCTTCCCACCAAAGTAGAAGGAGAACTATAAGGTTTCAGGTTCAAATCTCAGCTTAGGCAAAAAAACAGTCTGATTTTTTCCTATCTGACTGCCTAAGCCTCGGCGGGTAGATTAATTGAGCGAAAGCTGGCCCGGATACCACCGTCGTCATAAAAAACAACAACAACAGCAACGATCCAGTAAAATACTACAAAGTGGGGTCTGAGGAGTATAGTACGTACTCAGACCTTACCCCTACCCGATGGTGCAGATGGTGGCAGAGAGGCTGTTTCCGATCAGGAAATATGTATCACTAAATCTAGCACCCAAATGAAAACAAATGCAGAAAAAAAAGTGAGCATGACAACTTTTCATTCAATAAAGAGAAGCCAGAAACCCAAACCTTCAACATATGATAAACAGGGCATAGCTCCACCAATATATCTGTGAAACAGTTAAAGCTTTTGGGGCTGTTCTTCTGTTTCTGAGAATGTTTCTTCTTTTTCCAAGATTAAGGAAGGGAGATATTGACAGAGAAGAAAGATACATAGGAAGAATCGAAGAGCTTGGTGCTGTCGGAAAATCCAGAGTTGCCAGCACAACATCAAGACAAAAAAGAATTACTAGTATTAGTTGTCTTGTTGTTTGAGTCTTGGTTACAGAGGACGGCAGAATTAGAAAATGATACTGTGATTCGCTTACACCAATGCTGTTTCTGCAGTTAGCCCAATGTTCTATGGACAGTTTTTCGAATAAAATATCTTACTACTAAATTTTTTATTTTATTTTTTAAACGATTGAAATTTTACTTGTTCAAATCATTTACTAGTAAAATATTATTATCGGAGAAATTATCTATTATTTGAAAACGGGAAAAATTTGAAGTGCCATGTAATACTATTTTGTCATATAACATTGTGTATTAAAATTAAAATCATGTGAGTCGGAAGATCATATTAGTGGATTAACATTGTGTAATAATTTAATCTAATTACTAGTGGAGAAATAGTAAATCATACTACTAAAATTTTAAAATACTGTAGAACCTCTCTAAATTAATATTATCGGACCATAAAATATTATTATTTCATAGAGGTATTATTTAATCGATAAATTAATATTTATTAATTTAAAGCGTGTTTTCGATATTCAATGAAGGTTAATTTTGATTAGATCAAAATCATGGTATCTTACTAATTTATGTATTAAATTTATTGAATTAATATACAAAATAAATTAATTATACATAAAGTACAATGTATGATTTATGATTCGTTGTAATATTTTTTATTTACTAAATGATTCATTGTAATGTTCATTGTTTCATAATAATCAAATATTATTCATTATATTTTTACTAAAAACATTCAATGTATGATGATGAGAGAATAAACTATATAAGCAACAACAACAACGGCCGAGTATGATACCACAAGTGGAGTCTGGGGAATATAGAAAATTTCTATATAAGCAATATAGAAAATTTCTTCAAACCGAACCCAACAATGGCTTCTCATCTAAAAGGTGTCACAAAATCAACAATAACATATCAAATACGTAAAGTACTATGTGAGTATTCATTCCATCGGAGAAAACAATGTTGATGATGAAGTTGAAGACGATAAATACCTTTGGAACCAGTTACGCGTAGGGAAGCATTTATCGCGTCTAGAACTCTTCATAATTTTTTGGTGCAGTTCGAGAAGACAACACCGAAACTTTTGGATGCAATGAGAAAAGTTAGAGATGAGCTTCAACTAGATTTAAATTTTAAGAAAAAACAAAATACTAGAATCATGTTTCACTAAATTGTCGTAGATATTTTTGTAATTTAAAGAATTATTAATTTATAATATTAATGGGACTATATATTTATATAGGGGTCTTCCGCAAATATATTACCTTATTATTTTATTGAAATCGGTAATTTTTTCCATTGGCCCAAGTTGGGACACGAGAAAAAATATTGTCTTAGAGAATTTATTAATTTACCGAGTATTAATTTAGAGAGGTTCTACTGTAGTTTCTTTTTGCGAACATGTAAGTTGGAAGACTACGAGCTCCTAATAAAATTAGAACAGAACACATTTATAGGATAAAGTATAATGGAAAAAATCAGACAGAAGTCACTAATAATACAAGCAATAAGTCGCATATGCAAAATGCATTTTATAAGCCGCATTTGTTGACTGCGGTTTCTGTTCGCTTAAAACATTCCTCAGTTTTTACCCCATTTTTTATTTTCATTTTGTATTTCCTTATTAGTTACTTATAAATTTTCTTTTTTATTTATCCAAAAATAAAGGTTTTTTTTTCTATTTAGAGCAATGAATTATTCTTTAATGTAGCATGATATATATTTATTATAGTCCAACAAAATTCAGGTGATAAAGCATTACTGAGTACACATATGCATCAAAGTAGTTAAGTTACACTTCTTTGTCCGGAAGAGTTAGGATTTGGAAGTGAAAATTTACGGTATGTAACTATTACAGGAGTTAGAAATGTGAATATAAATAGTATTAAATGAGACTTCGAAAATGCGCCTTATAAATCACTATATATGAATGCGAATTCTAAATTGGAATCCATGCGTGACTTATAAATGAAATCCGATTTATAAATCACAATACATGAATCCAACCTATCGCAATAGATGAATGTGAACTATAAATAGGAACAGGAGAATGTGATTTATAAAATGCATGACGTGAACGCTATACATGAATGCGCCTTATTAATTGCAATCAACGTGACTTACAAATCGCGATCAGCTAATGCGACCTATACATCGCAATCAATTAATGCGACTTATACATCGCAGTCAGACTTATACATCGCAATCAGTTAATACGACCTATACATCGCAATCAACGAATGCGATTTATACTCAATCAATTAATGCGACTTATACATCGCACTTAACGAGTACGACTTATAAATCTCAATCATGTGACTTACAACTCGCAATCATGAATGCGACTACGAATGCAACATGTAAAACATTATTACGTGAATTTAAATTATAAACCGCAATATGTGAATGCTACAAATGTACGACAAATCCGTGCAATTGACAAATATAAATTTGCGACAGTATAAACATTCTGCCTATCGCATTCCTACGCGATTTATGCTCCGAAGAAATTTGAACAGTCTGTATTTGTCAACTAAATGAAAAGTAGAATAAAAGTTCGAAATTTATAAGTCGCCGAAGAAATTAGAACAGTCTGTATTTGATTCCTATTTCATTGAATAGCTAAACTTGGAATGACAATTTCCTGAGTTTCCAATGAGATGACAAATATTTGGACTTTTTTTTTAGTGTGCACCGGGTAAACCGCCACTATATAATAGGCTACAAACCGACTGGGCCGTCCCGAAGGAGATTTGAAGGTTTATGTTGGTCATTTGAGTAATAAAATGCTATAGCTCTCTGATAAGAATATGCAGCAAGGTACGATTGTAGTAATGAAGGAGAGGCAAAAGTTGGCTGAACTTCTAAGAAATTGTTCTAAGAATTTGATTTTGGATGTGGGAAAGCAAGTTCATGGAGCTGTATTGAGGATGGGTTATGCATTTGATTTGATGATAAACAATGATCTCATTGGCATGTATGGGAAATGCAGCAGAATTAAATTGGCACGCTCAGTGTTTGACAAAATGCTTGAAAGAAATGTGGTTTCTTGGACAGCTTTGATGTGTGGGTATTTACAACGGGGTAATGCTCAAGAATCCTTGTTACTTCTCTCTCGTATGGTTTGTGCCAATGTAAGACCCAATGAATTTACTTTATCGACTAATTTAAAGGCGTGTGGTTCTATTGGTGCTCTGGAAAATGGACGACAGATTCATGGGTTGTGCGGTAAAAGTGGGTTTGAAAAGTATCCAGTTGTGGGCAATTCAATTATTGATATGTACTCAAGATGTGGGAAAATTGGTGAGGCTGAAAATATGTTTCATGAAATGCCAGAAAGGAGTCTTATAACTTGGAATGTAATGATAGCAGGGTATGCGACTGGAGGATTTGGTGATAAGTCTTTGTTTCTGTTCAAACAAATGCAAGAACAAGGAGAAATACCAGATGAGTTTACGTTTGCAAGCACATTGAAGGCGTGCAGTGGTTTTAAGGCAGTCCGTGAAGGAAGC